AAATAATAAAAGTGTGTTCTTCAGCATTTTCAATGTGTTCCAGCGCTAAAATGCAAGGTTATTATAGTTAACGAAAACGAACGAAAAAGCTAAAACTAAAATGTAAAATAATTGTCGTTAACTAAAATAAAAATAAAAACAAGAGTTTTTTATTAAAAACTAGAACTAACTGAAACTGTATTGTGTTCATGCAAAACTAACTGAAACCAAGTAAAATTACAGCAAAAACCTCCTTCGTGTTCATATTTGTAACTATATTTTAGAGCTGCACAATTCATCTTTAAAAGATCGCGATCTCGATTCGACCCCCGACACCCCGAGCCGCTTGTTATTGCGTATCTATTATAGATCAGCACTTGTACTGTATCTCTCAGGTTAAATCTGAATGGGGCTGTTCACATATCGCGTCCAAAACCATGTTAAAAACGTGACGCATGCTTTTTCCTTTACTGATTTACATGCGTTTCTGAATTGGCAATCCTCTGCTGTTTGCATTTGCTATGTCCACCATCAGCTGTTTATACACGCACGGCACGGTCAATTTTCAAAATAGTTCAACTTTTGCCACTGTGTTGATTAATACTGAACGCGTGTCCTTATTACTTGAGGTTAGGGTTAGGAGTAGAGTATATGCTGGTGTTTAACTGCATTGCTTAATTGCACTCCTGCATTGGGCTCTCACATACTTTCTGCTACGTCATACTGTAGCTGTGGTGGGCATTTCTGTCTGTCTCGTGCTGAACGCAGTCGACCAATCGCAATAGACTGGGTCATCGGACCAATCAGCACAGATTAGCTTCGCGCCAAGGAGGGGTTTGGGAACAAATGAATCGCTGAATGAATCAAATAGGAGTCGCTGGGATAATTAGATAAAAATAAATGCATATTATTAGAAAATGAAAGTGTTTTTTGACCTTTACACTCATATCCGGCTGTTGTTGGAGACCACCAAAACCAAAGTATGACCTTTTATAATGCAAAATAGGGGCACTTTAAAAATACAACTGATTATTATTAGTTACCTAGGTTACGAAAAGGATTACGACTATGAAATTACTTTTTTTTTTATTAGGGATTACCTAAAACTAAACATCAGCTGAGATTAAAGTTTCACAGGAGGGTAAATAATTTTGGCTTCAACCATAGGTGTAACAAGCCACAGAAGTGGTGGACCATCTAAGCCAGGGGTGTCCAAACTTTTTGGGCCGAGGGCCAGATGCAAAAAAAAAAAAAACGTTGTCGCGGGCCAAATTTTACATATATCACACAGACACGCATATATATCAGGGCTCGAAATTAACCTTTTTTCTTGGTAGCACCGGTGCTCCTAACTTTAAAAATGTAGGCGCATCAGCCACAATTTAGTCGCACCCACCAATTATGAGCACCGTTACTTCAAGTATAATACAAACATGTTTATTGCATTTGAAATCAACAGTAATCAAACTGACACGCAAAAAAAAAATATATATATATATACATATATGCAAGCGTGAGGAAAATGTCTCAACGAAATCCCGTTATCACAAGAAATACATTTTATAACAAAACTGAGTGACCAAAGCATACACGGAGCGCTCACCGGCCCTGCACGTAGTGCTTGAATGAGTCTGTTAACGGTATAACTCTGCTGTTCTCACAAGTGCTGTATGATATTGCACTGACTGATGCTTTTGACACATACTGTACCTTATTATATGCATAACGTTATACGTCATGTTAATAGCAATACTGTCTTTTCATGAGTAGCAATATTAGTTTACTTAGTGTAAGCCCGTTTACGATGCCGATTGTGAACGTAGTGTTAAATTTTACATATAGCTGCCCCTTGCACGGCGGACAACATCTGGCGATTATATGAAGGATTAAACAGAAGCTCTCGTGCTAGATGTGGCAAACAGTTACCTGAAAACTCCATCCTACAGACTTTTAGCGGACTTGAAGCCAATGGAAGTCTTTAATTCACTCTTGGAAAAGTGTAGATGGTGGATTAACATTCAGCACATGATAACAACTAAGATGTGTCATTATTTATAACTTTAGATGCCATGGTTTCTAAAACAAAATCTGTCAGTGTCAGTTTCATTCTCATCTTTAGCGCTTTAGTTTTTCGCGGCAGTAGCTCTCTCTGTCATTCCAAGCAAGAAGGCGCTGACTGCGGGATTGACAGCTGACATTAACCAATCATTCGCGTTCAGTGCTAGAGCAGTGGTGGGCCAATAAGAAGAGCGCGAAGGCGGGGCAAGTATTACGGACTTGTTACTGGAGCAAGTTGACATGACAACTGTTTTAAACCATTCCCGAGCGCTGCGTTTCCCGTTTCAAGTGCAGACAAAGAGCTTAGAGAGATGCATTCTGCGTGAATGTCTCCCGAATTCGCGCATGTCGTGAACATTTTGCAGTAAAAACTGGTCGCACACAACAATTTTAAGCACTCGCAGAAATGCTCCCAAATATATTTTGAGGTCGCATAGATAAAATTTCGGGCGCATATGCGACCAAAATGGTCGCAATTTCGAGCCCTGTATATATACATATATATATATATATATATACACACACACACACACACACACACACATTTCTAAACATATTTTAGTAACTCATTTCTAATTACTAATTTATTTTATCTTTGCCATGACGATAGTAAATAAAATTTGACTAGATATTTATCAAAACACTTCTATACAGCTTAAAGTGACATTTAAATGCTTCACTAGGTTAGTTAAGTTAACTAGTCAAATTAAGGTAATTAGGCAAGTTAATTAGGCAACAATGGTTTGTTCTGAAGACTTAAGGGGCTAATAATTTTGACCTTAAAATGGTTCATAAAAAATTAAAAACTGCTTTTATTCTAGCTGAAATAAAACAAATAAGTCTTTCTCCAGAAGAAAAAATATTATCAGACATACTGTGAAAATGTCCTTGATCTGTTAAACATCATTTGGGAAATATTTAAAAAAGAAGAAATAAATCAAAGAGGGGAAAATAATTCAGACTTCAACTGTGTATATAGATAGATAGATAGATAGATAGATAGATAGATAGATAGATAGATAGATAGATCATAACAAGAACTGCTGCTTAATTATATGCATATAATAGCGACACCCGGTGGTTATTTATTGAATTACGTTCATTTTTGTATAGCGGGCCAGATTCTATTGATATTTATAAAAAGCCTCGCGGGCCGCAACAAAACTGATTGCGGGCCGCAGATGGCCCGCGGGCCGTAGTTTGGACACCCCTGATCTAAGCATTTGGCTGTCAGCCCACAAACAATCTGCTGTGCCAGCCTAATTCATAGAAGCTCTCAAAGTCAGCGAAAAAAGGGAAGAAATCATCCTGTGGCCAAGTTCAACAACTATTGTGCAATAACTACTCCACACTGGTATGGGCTGGATATTTCCAACTGGAGCTCTGAATACTCAAAGCAGCTTTCCAGGAAGAACTTCTACACTAGCGGTGACGCAAACTTCATCTTGTGTTGTTGTGTCAAAGTGAAAGAACGTCACTGATAGACAGGAGAACAGACTGAAGACCGAAAACTAAATCCTGTCCCGTCCAGAAACTCCTGCGGCTGAGATGATTCACTGGTAAATAGCATTGGTCTGAATCAACACCCTGAGAAGCACATACGGTTCAGTTTATCTGGATGTGACTCACAGAGTCCTCCATTTACACCTTGTAAAATCCGATTGCAGGATTTCCTCCAGTTTTAACCAGTAGTGTGTGAGGTTACTTCAGTGTGCTTTACAATGGAGAAGCTGATTTTATATGTATTTAAACATAATAGGTAGATTGCAAACTGATAAAATAGATAGATACTAAGATAGATAGATAGATAGATAGATAGATAGATAGATAGATAGATAGATAGATAGATAGATAGATAGATAGATAGATACTAACTAGCATAGATAGATAGATAGATAGATAGATAGATAGATAGATAGATAGATAGATAGATAGATAGATAGATAGATAGATAGATAGATACTAACTAGCATAGATAGATAGATAGATAGATAGATAGATAGATACTAACTAGCATAGGTAGATAGATAGATAGATAGATAGATAGATAGATAGATAGATAGATAGATAGATAGATAGATAGATAGATAGATAGATAGATAGATACTAACTAGCATAGATAGATAGATAGATAGATAGATAGATAGATACTAACTAGCATAGATAGATAGATAGATAGATAGATAGATAGATAGATAGATAGATAGATATAAACTAGCATAGATAGATAGATAGATAGATAGATAGATAGATAGATAGATAGATAGATAGATAGATAGATAGATAGATACTAACTAGCATAGATAGATAGATAGATAGATAGATAGATAGATAGATAGATAGATACTAACTAGCATAGATAGATAGATAGATAGATAGATTGATAGATAGATAGATAGATACTAACTAGCATAGATAGATAGATAGATAGATAGATAGATAGATACTAACTAGCATAGATAGATAGATAGATAGATAGATAGATAGATAGATACTAACTAGCATAGATAGATAGATAGATAGATAGATAGATAGATAGATAGATAGATAGATAGATAGAAACTAGCATAGATAGATAGATAGATAGATAGATAGATAGATAGATAGATAGATAGATAGATATAACACAGACAGAAAGACAGATGGATCTAAACAAACTGGATAAATAGATAGACAAACAGACAGACAATTAGTTAGATAACTTAATATATCCAACTAGCCAATATTAAACTAATGATAGACAGAAATATGATAGATAACATAATCAGCACTGTCCCTTTTGTGGAAACAAACAAATAAACAGTTAAAACATTATAATAATAGACATTTAACAAACCCATCCTTCCCTCATAACCAAGTCTGCTATCCTCATAGCATTTGCTAACATTTTTACACATCAAGCGAAAACACCAACGAATTTAGCCAGTGAATTAATAACTCTACGCGGAAATATAGCGCTTTACCTTGTGAATTCGTTTTAATGCCATAGTGTGTTGTGATGTGCTCCTGAGGCCGAGGACAGAGCAGGTTTATCCGGCTAGCTGCGGTTAGCTGTGCTCGCTAGCCAGACTCTGAAGATCCGACAGAAACCCGACGAGCAGAACCGGAAACCGACAAACCGAGCCGCGAACGTTGAATAAACCTGCGGAAGTCCAGCGGTCAGACAATAATAATCCCGCCGAGGAGCAAAGTTACAGAGAGTGTGAACGGGAAGGCCTGAGCTTCTCCAATGAGCACTTGTATAGGTATGTATGAGCGTGTGTGATTGTGTCTCCACCTCTCTCTCTCTCTCTCTCTCTCTCTCTCTCTCTCTCTCTCTCTCTCTCTCTCTCTCTCTCTCTCTCTCTCAATTCAGATTCAGTTTAATTCAATAATTGCTTTATTGGCATTACAAATGTATTGTCAAAAGCAGTTTTAAAGTTTACATAAAAAGTAACATATATATATATATATATATATCAACAGTACATACAGTAAATATTAGTAAAAAAGATGATATTTATATATAATAATTAAATAAAATATCAACAATACATCATATTATTCAATATATCATATTATTCAACATATCATAGTATTCATACAAATCAATTCAAAAATAGATCAGAATAAACTGTACATTTAACAATCAACATTTTAGGATAAAACAGTAATAAAAACAATAATAATCAGTATATTTACAATGATTAATTTATTATCAGCTAGGTGTGTGTGTGTGTGTGTGTGTGTGTATGTGTGTGTGTGTGTGTGTGTGTGTGTGTGTGTGTGTGTGTGTGTGTGTGTGTGTGTGTGTGTGTGTGTGTGTGTGTGTGTGTGTGTGTGTGTGTTTGCAGGCGCATCACTGATGTCGTTATTGGTCTGCTCTCTCTTTTTGTGACAGGCATTAATGTATTGTGCTGCTTGAAGAACACACTCATTTCACTCTCTCTCTCTCTCAATTCAATTCAATAATTGCTTTATTGGCATTGCAAATATTACAAATATTATATATATAATAAATTTATATATATATATATATATATATATATATATATATATATATATATATATATATATATAGATAGATAGATAGATAGATAGATAGATAGATAGATAGATAGATAGATAGATAGATAGATAGATAGATAGATAGATACAAACTTTTATTAATTACATCCATTTTCCTTTTTAGTTCCTTATTCATCAAGGGATGCCACTCGCCGCAGCTGAATGAACCGCCAATTTATCCAGCATATGTTTTACGCAGCGGATGCCCTTCCAGCCGCAACCCATCACTGGGAAACAACCACACACACACGCCAACACGGGGAGAACATTCAAACTCCACACAGAAATGCCAACTGACCCAGCTGAGGCTCAAACCAGAGACCTTCTTGCAGTGAGGCAAACATGCATATATATATATATATATATATATATATATATATATATATATATGTATATATATTCCTCCGGGTGCTCCAGTTTCCAGTTTCCAGTCCAAACACATGCGGCACAGGTGAATTGGGTAGGCTAAATAGTCCGTAGTGTATGAGTGTGTGTGTGAATGAGTGTGTGGATGTTTCCCAGAGATGGGTTGTGGCTGGAAGGGCATCCACTGCATAAAAACTTGCGTGATAAGTTGGCGGTTCAATCCGCTGTGGTGACCCCGGATTAATAAAGGGACAAAGCTGGCAAGAAAATGAATGAATGAATATATATATATATATATATATATATATATATATATATATATATATATATATATATATATATATATATATATATAATACATGTATACATAAAATACAAATATGTTACAGTAATAATAATGAATTTGAATAAACTGTACATTTAACAATCAACATTTTACAATAAAACCATAATAATAAATATTAATAATAATAATAATCAGAGTGGTGGCACGGTGGCACAGTGAGTAGTGCTGTCATCAGCAGGTTGCTGGTTCGAGTCTCTCGGCTGGGTCAGTTGTTGTTTCTGTGTGGAGTTTGCATGTTCTCCCCGTGTTGGTGTGGGTTTCCTCCGGGTGCTCCGGTTTCCCCCACAGTCCAAACACATGCGCTGTAGGGGAACTGATCAACTAAACTAGCTGTAGTGTATGAGTGTGTGTGAATGATTGTGTATGGGAGTTTCCCAGTACTGGGTTGAAGCTGGCAGGGTATCCGCTGTATAAAACATATGCTGGATAAGTTGGTGGTTCATTTCACTGTGGTGACCCCAGATTAATAATGGACTAAGCTGAAGAAAAATGAATGAATGAATGAATAGGTAATAATCAAGTGCCTTGAAATAGATAACCAATCCTCTTCTGATACACAATGTTAACAAACTACAAACATGGGCCAGACCAACAGTTAAACTTCATAAAGATGTTTGAATGATTGTCAAGTAATATCTTACTAATGGGAAATACTTATTTCATGTTCACCGCTTTATATGTCCTCTGCAACAGCATTGTGAGACTTTTATAAATATGCGTTTGGTCATTAAGTGCTGAATGCATAATTATGCAAACACCTGAGGAGATTTCTCTGCATGTGAGAATGGCAGATTAACCTGCTAATAAGGTAGGAAATTAAATATGAAGGAAATGTGCATTATGCGACAGTATGATTGACAGGGCACGTAACCAAGCAACAGAACTTCCATTAATGAGGAAGCAGTTAGTCCCAAAGCTCGTATAGGCCTAGTGTTAGCTACACACACTCAAAGTTATGTAGCTTTTTCTTCACAAAATTGAGTACAGGAGTACTTTTAGGACGTAGTGTAAGTAGGCGAATAAGGACACATTATAGATGATCAGTAGTTTTAAACATTCGTTCATTATTTTTCTTTTCGGCTTAGTACCTTTTAGTTTTAAACAAACCTATTTAAAGTCACCATGAAATGGAAGTTGTTGTCCTTTTGTCTATTATTGTTATGTACTTGCACTTGAAATGAAAAAAAGGACTGTGCATGATCTTGTTTTTTTGGAACCGACTGGATTGTAAAAAAAAGAGAGTTGCTGACAAAATGAAGTAAGATGGATGAATGGATAAATTCAGAGCAGAAACCAGACATGCACTAATATGCCCGCCCTAAAGCACTGATCATTTCGCCGTAAAGCACTGATCACTCCGCCCTAAAGGACTGATCACTCCGCCCTTAAGGATTGATAGCCCTGCCCCAAAGGACTGACTGCTCTACCCTAAAGGACTGATAGCCCCGCCCTAAAGGACTGACAGCCCCGCCCTAAAGGACTGATCACTCCGCCCTAAAGCACTGATCACTCCGCCCTAAAGGACTGAACGCTCCACCTTAAAGGACTGATAGCCCTGCCCCAAAGGACTGACTGCTCTACCCTAAAGGACTGATAGCCCCGCCCTAAAGGACTGACAGCCCCGCCCTAAAGGACTGATCACTCCGCCCTAAAGGACTGATAGCCCCGCCCTAAAGGACTGACTGCTCCACCCTAAAGGACTGATAGCCCTTCCTCAAAGGACTGAATGCTCCACCCTAAAGGACTGATAGCCCCGCCCTAAAGGACTGACTACTCCGCCCTAAAGGACTGATCACTCCGCCCTAAAGCACTGATCACTCTGCCCTAAAGCACTGATCACTCTGCCCTAAACCACTGATCACTCCGCCCTAAAGCACTGATCACTCCGCCCTAAAGCACTGATCACTCCGCCCTAAAGGACTGATCGCTCCACCCTAAAGGACTAATAGCCCTGCCCCAAAGGACTGACTGCTCTACCCTAAAGGACTGATAGCCCCGCCCTAAAGGACTGACAGCCCCGCCCTAAAGGACTGATCACTCCACCCTAAAGGACTGATAGCCCTGCCCTAAAGGACTGACTGCTCCACCCTAAAGGACTGATAGCCCTTCCTCAAAGGACTGAATGCTCCACCCTAAAGGACTGATAGCCCCGCCCTAAAGGACTTACTACTCCGCCCTAAAGGACTGACAGCCCCGCCCTAAAGGACTGACAGCCCCGCCCTAAAGGACTGATAGCCTGAAGTTGCTGAGATTTATTTTAGTATGATGTACTTTCAACTGAAACGGGAGTAGGGAGCGGTGCTTTGTTTTTGCAATCTAAAGCCTGGTTTATACTTCTGCGTCAAGTGACCGGCGTAACTGACGGCGCAGGCAACGCGCGCAGCTGTGCATTTATACTTCTGCTGCTGTCTCTGTTGGTCTGCATTATCACTTCTGAAACGCTAGTTGGCAGTGAGGTGTAAATGTTCCTCTGTGTCGAGTTTCTTCGCTGTTTTGTTTTTCCTGAACACGTCCTGGTTGTACAAGTGGCTCAAACTCGCTCATTTTGAGGCAGGAACCGACGGACGTGCAACAACTTTAACTTTGAGGTAAACACAAAACAAAACTTTCCATCCGGAGCTCCTTCAAGGGACTCCACACTTGTAAACAATCACTCGCGCCATTCGCGCGGCTCTCGGTCCCGCCCAGACTCGTCAGCGCTACCAAGCCGACCAATCACAGAGCTTGCGCTACACGTTGTTGCGACGTGTAGTTACATTTTTTGAGAGGTGCACGTCAGTGACGGCGATGGCCACGGCAAAGGGCTATGCGTCAGCGCCGTAGCATACGCCGGCGTTTGATGCAGAAGTATAAATCAGCCTTTAGGGTGCTTTCACACCTACACTTTTGTTTCGGAACCTGTCTCGTTTGCCCAGTTTGTTCAGTTGGCATATGTAAACAAGGCAATTGCGCTCTGTTCCGCGCCAAAGTAATCGCTCCGAGACCGCCTGAGTGAGGTGATCTCGGCTCGATTGAAACAAACCCTGGAGCGGTGCGATTGCAGATAGAAATCGATACGATGCGAGCGCGGTTATATCACAGTGCTTTATGGATATGTAATAGGCTTACGGCTATATGAAGAGAGAATTATGAGTAGGGCGGGAAGTTTCGCGAGTCTCCCGGATGCCCGCAAACGAGTGATAATCTTCCGGTAATCTCGCGTCTCCCTCCCGGTCCTCAAATAAGCTACGTCGCGCACCCTTTTCACCCCTCCCCACCGCATCTCTCCTCAGACACGTCGCGCACACAAACCTTGTCAAACATCACTAAACCACCACCTCTCCTGACAGCGGGACGCTGCAAAATAAACCCTGACACTCTGACCAATGTGAGGAGAGTTTACTCACACGTGACTTGTTTTAGCTCTTTTGGTCCGATTAGAAACTTTGCAGTGTGAAAGCGAACCGCTCCAAGAGCAAAGAGCAACAATGTAACAA